CTATCGTCTCCTCCTCCTCCTCCTCCTCCTCCTCCTCTTCTTCTTCTGTCTCTTGGGGGGTACAGTTGTGGGGTATTGGATAGGCTTGATAGGAAGGAAGAGCGCATCCGTGTGCCAACCCAACTGTCATAGCTGGTGGCTTTGTCCCTCGAGGACAATATAATCACCCCCCACCCCCAACAAGCTCTCTTTCTGGAGATAGGCTGCTCCCAGGTAATTTCCACAGGTAGTTGTTGATTTCCTAAGCTATGTATTTATTTATTATTACATTATTTTTGATGTGCAGTATCTGAATTCAAATGTAATGTAGTATGGCTATGGAGCTGGGCTCTGGAATAATAGCAAAGGAAGACTCTTCTCCAGAAACATGGTTACCAGTCACCCTGTTCCATTGATGGTCTTCTTGTGGAAAGGGGCACTGCTCCAGAACAATAAAAATCCATGCATGCAGAAAACTAGTATGACAGGGGGAAGAGATTGGGTAGAGCCTTTTACTCTGATTTGCTGCCTGTTCTTGGGGACTTATGCTAGAATCCTCAACCGCTACTATTTCTGAAGAAGAAGAAGAGATTGGATTTATACCTCACCCTTCACTACCTGAGGGAGTCTCAGAGTGGCTTACAATCTCCTTCCCTCCCTCTCCCCACAATAGACACCCTGTGAGGTCGGTGGGGCTGAGAGAACTCTTTCGAGAACTGCTCGTGAGAGAACAGCTCTGAAAGAACTTGTAACTGACCCAAGGTCACACCAGCAGCTGCATGTGGAGGAGTGGGGAATCAAGCCCGGCTCTCCCAGATTAGAGTCCGTGCTCCTAACTACTACACCAAACTGCCTTTGGGTCCCAGGCAGTTCTAGAAAAAAACCCCGATCTGACCTCTTTTCTAGCCCAATGATGATAGTCAGAGATCACCAATGGTTGGGCCACTGTCTTCTCCTCTTCCTCCCAAGGGGACACACCACTGATTTCTTTCAAGAGAGTGGCACCCACTTTTCAACCATGTGTTTGTAAATTCCATGTATGTTTTGAAGGGTAGAAGATGTTGTACAGCCATATTGGGCCATGCAACTACCCCCCAACAATGACAAAATCCACAAGGTTGTGGGCTTGTGGCACAGAACTCTTCAAGAGCTCCACACAACGAGCCATTGGCACATTAGGACCTTGTGGCATTTTAAACTCACTCTAAAATGGTGTGGGCAAACTTGTGGTGGCTACTTCAGGGAGCACACATGAATACCATACAGTTTGGTGTAGTGGTTAAGTGCGCAGACTAGGGCTGCCAAATCCCCCCGGGGGCGGAAAACCCCCCGCCCCAGAGGCCCGTCTCTCGACGCCAGGGAATCGGGCCCCGGGGGGAACCCCGCCCCGGCATGCGCATCACAGGGAAGTGATGTCATGACGCAGGGCACGCTGGGGGCGGGGCCATGACCATACAAGGGAAAACTCTATGGTTTTCCCTTGCATGGCCGTGGCCACCCACCTCACAGGGTGTCTGTTGTGGGGAGGGGAAGGGAAAGGAGTTTGTAAGCTGCTCTGAGACTCCTTTGGGTAGTTAAGGGTGGGGTATAAATCCAATCTCTTCTTCTTCTTCTTGTGACTGCCATAAAAAGAACAGATAATTCATTTCACTTTCTGTATCACCTAATGTGTACTACAAGGAGATCTACATAATGTTGAAATTTTGTGGCCTTGTGTTCCATTTGACAAAGAGAACATCTTTGATATGGTCTCCGCCAGGAAAACCACAAGCTCCACCGTGACCTTCCATAACCTTAGACTGATTTGAGGGCTGCCTACCTGAGAAATCCAAGAAATACTGATCGGGGAAAGGTACGCTTCTTCACTGATTGATTCAATTTCTACCCCGCCCTCCCAGCCAAGACCGGCTCAGTGCAGCTTACAAAATACAACGTGACATTTACAATGTACATAAAACATTAGACAACAGCAGTTAAAACAATTCTAAAAGCAAGCAAAAACCTTGTATAGGTTAATATAGCAGTCATTACTGATCAGGGAAGGGTACTCTTCTTGACTGATTACATTTCTACCCTGCCCTCCCAGCCAAGGCCGGCTCAGGGCAGCTTACAAAATACAACGTAACATTTACAATGTACATAAAATATAAGTTAGACAAAAGCAGTTAAAACAATTCTAAAAGCAAGCAAAAACCTTGTATAGGTTAATATAGTAGTCCTATATCTTTGATGGAAATGCCAGGTGTTTTGTTTTATATTTCCTCTAGCTTTCCTCCTTTTTACACTTGAGTCCAGTAGCACCTTAATGACCAAAAAGAAGTCCAAGGTATGAGCTGAAAAGCATGTACCCTGGAAATCATGTTCGTCTTTAAGGTACTACTGGAGTCAAAGGCTGGTCTTCTACTGCACACGAACATGGCTACCCACCTGAACTTTTTCTACAAAAAGAGCCCTGGCATATATCTTTGATGGAATTGCCAGGTGTTTTGTTTTATATTTCCTCCAGCTTTCCTCCTCTTTACACTTGAGTCCAGTAGCACCTTAAAGACCAAAAAGAAGTCCAAGGTATGAGCTGAAAAGCATGTACCCTGGAAATCTTGTTGGTCTACCCACCTGAAACCATCCTTTTCACACTGCCACCTTTCTCTTAAAAAATATTGCCTTTCTCCTCCACAGCCTGCACAGTGCTTCCTTCACCTGATCATTCCTTAGGCAGTAAATCATGGGGTTAAGGAAGGGTGTTATGGCAGTATAGCAGAGTGTTACTATCTTAATGACACTTGAATTGATTTCTCCACTTGGCATGACATAGAGCCCTGCCACTGGGCCATAGAAAAGAGTCACCACCATTAAGTGAAACGATATGGTGGAGAAGGATTTTAACCGGTTGCCTTTGCGAGAGTTTTTCACCAGGGTGACAATCACAGAGCCGTAGGATAGCACAACGAACACGATATTGCCTAGGATCACCAACACGTCCATGAAAATCTGACTGATGAGAGGAGCAGTTGCAAGGGGAGGGCAAGCCAAAGCTAGAATTGGTCCAGGATCACACAAAAAATGGTCAATGAGATTAGGGCCACAGAAGGACATCTTGGAGATCAGTGTCACTGGGACAATGTATGTCATGAAGCCAAGGACCCAACAAAGAGTTACCAGGGCATAGCAAAAGTTTGGGGACATGATCTGTGGGTATCGCAGTGGGTGGCAGATGGCCAAGTACCGATCCAAGGCCATGGCTGAGAGGAAGAAGCATTCAGTGCTGCCAAGAGAGAAGAAGATGTAAAACTGGAGGAAGCAGGAACTGAAGGAGATGGTCTTGTGGGACGAGGCCAGGTCAAAGAGCATCCGAGGCACAGTGGTGCTCACGTAACAGATCTCCAGCCAGGAGAAGTTGCTCAGCAGGATGTACATGGGAAGCCGGGACAGGTGGGTGTCCAGAACCACCAGTGTGATGATGGTGATGTTCTCAGCCATGGTGATCATGTAAAGAAGAGTGAAAAAGCCAAGGAGCAGGAGTCGTTGCGGCTGCCCAACCTCAAAGCCCAGCAAAATGAATTCCTGAACTGTGGTCCTGTTGGCCAACTCCATCTGGAATTAGATACCAGAATTATCTTTACATGCAATATACTGTTGTTGCCTGGCTATCTGTTTCCATAGAAAGATGAATGCTCAAGTGACGTACCATTTAGTTAGCGTAAGAGGATATAACATCCACCCCAAGTCCTGTAGGGTTATGATTTGAAATTGCTGGTAATGAAACAGATTTGGTGATATTCAGTACAAAGCAATCAGAAGAAAATAATTGTGCTCTATTCGTCATGCTGTATGTGGCTGGTTTAAGGGGTTCAAGTTGGCATGGTATGGTCCAGTCTCATCAGATCTCAGAAGTTAGGCAAGGCTGGTGCTTAGATGGGAGATCGCCAAGGAAGCATCCGCGGAGGAAGGCGGTGGCAAATGCTTCTCGCTTGCCCCGAAAGCCCTTTGCTGAGGTTGCCATAAGTTGCTTGCAATTTGATGGTACTTGGATATGTACATAGCTGGCTGGTTTAATGCAACTTGATGATCAAGTGAAAGAATTCCTGGACTGTGTAAATAGGTAACCCAATGGAAAAAAAGAAAACGAGGTCAAGAGAGACCTCGGTGGTAGAAAGTTCCATCAAGTCAGATGACTTATGGTGACCCCGTAGGGTTTTCAAGGCAAGAGATGTTCAGAGGTGGCTTCCCATTGCCTGCCTCTGTATCATCCTCCTGGTATTCTCTGGCGGTCTCCAACCCAAGTACTGACCAGGGCTGACCCTGCTTAGCAGCTTCCAAGATCTGATGAGATTGGGCTAGTCTGGGCTATCCAGGTAAGGGTAAAAGGTAAAGGTTCCCTTGCTCAAAAGCCAGTCGAGTCCGACTCTAGGGTTGTGGTGCTCATCTTCATGTCAAAGCCGAAGAGCCAGCATTTCCGTGGTCATGTGGCCGGCATGACTAAACGCCAAGGTGCACGGAACGCTGTTACCTTCCCACCGAAGTGGTCCCTATTTATCTACTTGCGATTTCTTGCTTTCCAACTGCTAGGTTGGCAGGAGCTGGAACTAGAGACGGGAGCTCACTCCATCATGCGGCACACTCGGGTCTCGAACTGCTGAACTACCGACCTTCGAGAGCCTGCAGTTCAGTGTCTTAACCTCTTGAGCCACCGCATACGGCTAAATTTATGTATTATAGCATACGAGAAAATAGAACAAAGGGTCTCTTTTATATGAAAGTCACATATGACCTTTGTGTTGAAGTTGCAACCTATACTTGGTTCACTGGAACCATCTAATGTCATGTAACAATATTACAGAGAGAGGATCATCATGTCTTTAGGATGGGAATGCAGAACCAGTTGCAGTGAAACATAGTCATTTTCAGTGGAAAACTGCACTCAAATCTCACAGCCCCCTGAAAACAGCAGCGCCTATCGATGGACTGGATAGCGATAAAATAATTAAATGCAAAGAAAATAATCATATTAGCAATGCATATCGAAAAGAGAAACAGTATGCATCTATAGATTCTACACACTTCACAATGTAATTACATGGGTGGGGAGGAATCTAAGGCGTTCTTCTATTGAAGGTGAACTCAGAACGTATGGATTTGTCTAGATCCACCATAGGGAAATATGTTTCCATGAGAATGCGACATGACAACTATTTGATATTGATGAAGAGGAAAAAGTAAGTGGGTGTGTGGGATTTCAGAGAAGTCATAATTTGATAATGTTTTAGTGTGATAGCTTCAAATGGACATGGTATTTAGTTGGGTTGAGGATACGATACAGTAGCTTACATGAAGCTTACATGAAGCTGCCTTATACTGAATCAGACCCTGGGTCCATCCAACTCAGTTCTGTCTACTCAGACTGGCAGTGGCTCTCCAGGGTCTCAGGCAGGGGTCTTCCCCATCACTTCCTGCCTGGTCCTCTTAGCTGGAGATGCTGGGTATGGAACCTGGAACCTTCCGTGCACCAAGCAAATGATCTACCACTGAGACATGGCAGAATGGGAAAAGTAATACATGGCACACATTTGAGATACAACTCTGGGTTTCTTAGGTTTGCAGCCTCTGCTCGTTACTGTTAACTAAGCGTATAAACTGAAAACTATTTTGAATTAAGGATGCCGACACATAGTTTGGGATGCTCTTAAACTGGTATTGCAGGGAAAGTGTAATAGTTTGACTTCCTATTACAGGACAGGACAGGAAAGGAAAAGGACAGAAGACAGAACCCCTAACTTACTAGCCAAGATACATGAACTGGAATTTAGGTACAAAGCAATTTGATACACATTGTGTTTAAATGAAAAGGACAAACTCTTCATAACATTTATGACAAATCTATTTAATAAAGTTATGCAAGAAGGAGTAATACCCCGTCTCTGGAACAGTAATTGTAATTCCTACATTTGGCAAAAAGTTTGTCCTAGCAAACTCTTAGAGAACAATCTCAAGATCTACCAGAAGCTGCACATTATTTATAAATGATATTGATATATAGTGTCTGCATTGTATTGATTTCTTTGATCTTTCCTAATCCTGTGAATGATCAGGAAGTGTTTTGAAAGGGAAGGGTCTGGATTTTCCCTCATTAAACACATGAAGACTGAAAAAGAGCTGTCCAGCATTCTGAACAAAGATTAGGAGACGGCAGGGGCCTCCATACATTTGGAAGAGAGACTCAGTTTTCTAGTAGTAAAAACAGTCGTATGACACCATGATTGCTTCTGGGCAAGATGGCAGGATGTCTTTGGACAAAACTGGAATTTTTTAGGGTCTCACTGAAGAAAAACACCTTAGCTTCACAATTTAGTAAAAAATATGGATGCGGCTGAGAATCGTATAATAATTCATGATTTGCCCAGTCTTCAAGAATCTCTCTTTCTGGTCCTCATTTTATTAAACATCCTGGAAATTTCCATTAAGAAGCCTAATTCCACCCCCCACCCCATTCAAGTTCCCATATCAGTCTCCATTGCTATGGTCATTGTTCCCATCACTATACCTCAATACTTTGAAAGTGTCACTCCATCTAGTAGACCAGTTGTCAGAACTGTACTGTCAGACCTTGGGTGGGTGTCTAGTATGCCTTCCTGAGCCCAGCCATGGTGCTGGTGATGCACATGAAAGGCTGTCTGTGCGGAGAGAGTGGCCACAGGTGAGCACTGAAGTGTGAAAGCTTCTGATAAATCTTTGATGGCCCTTTGGGATCCTGTCCCTCAAGAACAGTATCTGTAGACATCATCACTTCAGAAACAGGTTGCCTTTCTCTGCCATGGTGAAACACATGCACTTTTAGAACTGCGTTTTAAGTAGATTGACATTTGTCTTTGTATTGGGATTAGGTACTCCTACACAGACAGGAGCTGCGATGGCTCAAGTGGTTAAGACGCTGAACTGCAGGCTGTGGAAGGTCAGTAGTTCAGCAGTTTGAGACCCGAGTGTGCCGCATGACGGAGTGAGCCTCCCATCTCTGATTCCAGCTCCTGCCAACCTAGCAGTTCGAAAGCAAGAAATTGCAAGTAGATAAATAGGTACCACTTCGGTGGGAAGGTAACAGCGTTCCGTGCGCCTCGGTGTTTAGCCACATGACCCTGGAAATGTCTTCGGACAGCGCCGGGTCTTCGGCTTTGAAACGGAGATGAGCACCGCAACCCTAGAGTCGGACTCGACTGGCTTTCGAGCAAGGGAACCTTTACCTTTTTACTCCTATACAGAACCACGGGAGAAGAAGATCCCGCTTTAAAAAAACCCCGTGGATAATCTATCATGCAGATGTTTCTCCCAAAGGAAGGTGTGCAGCCATAGGATCCGTACAAAAGTCTGTTCCTGCATACAGAAAGCTAGTCTAAGACAAAATGTGGACTAGGTTTGGATGGTATAGGGCTAAGGTTAAAAGAGGAATGTAAATGGATAAATTTGATGTTAGTAGCAGCAAGACAAGTGATAGCAAGGAATTGGAAAGAAGCTGAGGAACTGACGATTAATCATTGGAGGGATAAAATGAATAATATAATAATTTTAGAGTATCTTACAATGAAGATAGGTAGAATGAATGGGTTAAAGGTTAATGAACAGGAGGAGGACTGGTTTAGAAGGATGGCGGGGTATTTGGGAAAGTTTAAAAAATTTGGGGTGATTAGTCAGTTAATAGGAAATTGAGAGGTTAATTTGATTATAAGATTAAGATGGAAGGTTAATAGAGTAATAGAGTTGTACTGAGATTGATTGTGATATAATACTGTATGGAATTTTATTTCTGTCTCTATTGCCTGGAAGTCGCAGATGGGTGGTGTTGGTGTTGGATATGTTTTATGAAATAAAACAATAAAAAATTTTTTAAAAAAAATGTGGACTAGGTTTCAACCACCGGGCACCTTTTTCTCCCCTGGGACCCAGTTGCCCCAACCTCTATGATGGTTCTGGTCCCATCTCACAACAAGAATGTGATTTCAGATTCAATATATGTATCTGGATGGGAGGATGGATGCCATAAAGTCATAGCCAACTTATAACAACCTCATAGGGTTTTCAAGGCAAGAGACATTCAGAGGTCAAGATTATGCATGGGATAGGGCAGGTAGAGAAAGAGGTACTTTTCTCCCTTTCTCACAATACAAGAACTCGTAGGCACTCCATGAAATTGCTGAGCGGTCAGATTAGAACGGATAAAAGGAAGTACTTCTTCACTCAAAGAGTGATTAACACGTGGAATTCACTGCCACAGGAAGTGGTGGCGGCTACAAGCATGGACGTCTTCAAAAGGGAGTTAGATAAGCATATGGAGCAGAGGTCCATCAGTGGCTATTAGCCACAAGGTATAGATAGGGCCTCTGGGGCAAGTGATGCTCTGTCATCTTGGTGCTTGGGGGGGTCAACAGTGGGAGGGCTTCTAGTGTCCTGGCCCCACTGGTGGACCTCCTGATGGCACCTGGTATTTTTGGCCACTGTGTGACACAGAGTGTTGGACTGGATGGGCCTTTGGCCTGATCCAACATTGGTGTCTCTTATGTTCTTATGCAGGTGGTTTGCCGTTGCCTACCTCTGCATAGTGACCC